CACACACACACACACACACACACACACACACACACACACACACACACACACCCGCTAGCTAATGCACTGCTCACCGCCTCCAGCAGCTTCCACCCACTTTCAGACCCTCCCTCCCTCCTCCCTCCCTCTCCTGGTACAGGCAATAGGAGCTGTCATGTTTATTTACATAAGGAGGAGGAGACTGGAGTCTTCCTGAAATAGACAGAGTGCAGAGCCTTTTGTTGATGCAACAGCCCCCTATGTAGAAACTAAACACAATGTGTGATACGCGTACACACCTATCACCTACACATGGAGTAAGACTCACAAGGACACCCCATCCCATCTACCATGACACACATGCACACCTGCTCCATACAAAGGCTCATGCCCTTCATGTACAAGTATACAATTCCACACACCCATAGCCTCACACACACTAGATGACACACATGCAAACACAGTTGTATACTTTATGTGTACATACCTTTACATGCATGTCACATACTCTCATATATCCAAAATGACAGCATATTCAAGTTGGAAGGGACCTCAGGGACCAGTGTATTGTACCACATGTAGACATGCACATAGTCTCACTCACACACACACACACACATTCACTGCATCCGTATGTGTACACATACCACACCACGCGCATTCACAAGGAGTCTCAGGTTCTCTCTCTCTTCCCCCTTACTCTTTCCTTCCCTTCCTTCCTCCCTCTTTCTTTCTCTCTCCCTCTCTACTCTTTCTTTCCCTCCTTCCTCTTTCCTTCACTCTTCTTTCTCTCTTTCTAGCTTTCTCTCTGTCTCTCCCCCCTTCCCTTCCCTTCCTCCCTCCCTCCACCTTTCTCTCCCTCATTCTTTCCTTCCCTCCCTCCCTCTCTCTCACTCACTCTTTCCTTCCCTTCCTCCCTCCATATTTCTCTCTCTCCATCTTTTTCCCCCTCTCTCCTCTCTCTCCCTTCCCTTTCCCTCTCTTGCTCTTTTTACACTTTACACACACACAAACACACAAACATACACACAGACCTCCCCATCTGCAACATTACATTCTCAACAGAACCATCCTACGAACAACGCAGGGTATCCCAAAGCAGTGGGCTACTCAATGTGGGGAATAGAGTCAAGGGAAACTGTGTAGGGTGATATAGAGTCCCTTATACCTTGGCTGAAGGTGACAGACATCAGGGACAAAATGAGATTGAGAGACAGAGTCTAGATCCCATGCCCAGCAGAAATATTGATAGAAATGGGAAGAGAGGGATCTCTTCCTGCACACTAGGGTCCCTAAAGCACCTTCCCGACCTACTCTTTTGCTCTGTAAGACAGCTGTGACCTCTGCTGCCCTATCCTCTGAAGGGTTCAGTGTTAACCAGCAGCTGTTAGATCCTTGGCCAGATAGCACTTAGCAGTCCAGGGGCTCCCTTCCCAAAAGGTCATTACCTACATACATACATCGTGTCCGGCCCCAGCCAGCCCCCACATCCTCCCCAGGCCTGGCACAAGCTCTGGGGCCAGAATGTTTTCGGTTTCAGCCTCAGGGAGAGGCTGTGTGGGTGAAAAATGGGAGCAACTGCCTCTGGGGAGCAGAGGGCCAGAAATGGCAGGATTATGTTATCGGATGGATGGTCCAGGTCTGTCAAACAGATAGGACAGGACAAAGGTAAGGAGCTGAGTCAACATTCTCAAGGGATGAGGAGAAATTAATCAGCCACCACATAGGAGGTCCCTGTAGCTATCTTCCCCTCCTTTTGCCAGGGGAACTAGAGAGGAGGGAGCATGGGATTGTCAGCTAAGTCCAGGGAAGCAGGAGGGGAAGGACTCAGTTCATTCATCATCCTGATTCACTTGATGACCCTCAGCCTGGTGATATATCAGTACCGGATAACATACAGGAGCCAGCTCAAACAAGCCCATTGTTAAATTCTCAATGTGAGCATTTTTATACCTCAGAAATTGGCAAACATTACTTTACAAATCAGGGCTTAGTTTATTGTTTTGTGAATTGTCTAGACTTAAGAAAGTGATGAAAACTTGTTAATGCAGATTAAACTTAAAAGGGTAATATATACATACAGCTACATATGTATTTGGAGAGCTGGTTGTTAAACATATACTAGCATACCACTGGTTATATGTCTGAGCTTTCAATGGCTAATGTTCCCATTCACCAAACACCCCCCTCCCACCAATGCTGCCCCAGAAAGAAAATCCCCTGTGGTACTGAGTAGAAACCATTTGTGGCCATACTTACATATGTGTGTGTCTCTATGTGTGCATATATACATATATATGTGTGTGTGTATACACACATACACATATACATATATATATATATATATCTTCATCATCATCTAAGGTCTGCAAAGCACTTTACAAATATTAACTCATTTTACCCTTACAACAACCCTGGGAAGTAAGTGCTATTATTATCCCCATTTTACTGATAAGAAAACTGAGGGGGGCAGAGGTTAAGTGATTTGCCCAGGATCACATAGGTAATAAGTGTCTGAGGCTGGATTTGAATTCAGGTCTTCCAGACTCCAATCCAGCACTCTATCCATGGCACCACCCAGCACACATGAACACATGCCCACACATCTCCGCTGATAGAACATAAGCTCTTTGAGGGCAGAGACTGACTGTGTCATTTTTGATTTTGTATCCCCAGAGCTTAGCACAGTACCTGGCACATAGTAGGTGTTTAATAAATGCTTGTTGATTCACTGTCTGATTGATATGTACATACATGCACAGATTTCCTTTTTTTTTCTTAAATGGTTTCAAGTGTTTTTGTCCTACCTACCTACACTTTATTGTTGTTGTTGTTCAGTCATTTCAGTTGTGTCTGACTCTTCGTGACCCCATTTGAGGTTTTCTTGGCAAAGATACTGGAATGGTTTGCAATTTCCTTCTCCAGCTCATTTAATAGATGAGGAACTGAGGCGAACAGGGTTAAATGACTTGCCCAGGGTTCCACAGCTAGTAAGTGTCTGAGGCCAGATTTGAATTCAGAAGGAGGAGTCTTCCTGACTCCAGACCTGATACTCTATCTACTATGTCACCTAGCTGCCCCCCTACCTAAATTAGATAAGAGCTGAACTCTGTCTTATGCTTCTGGATCTGCCTAAGGTCTGGATCAGGGCTAAGTCCTGAGTATAATACAACAAACAATTATTAAGCACTTACTGTATGCAGAGCACTGTGCTAGGGGGCTAGGAGAGATGAGAACTTTACATAAATAAGACAGTAACAACCATCAAGAAGTTCATAGTCTAGAGGGGCAATAGGTGCTAGAGAGATTTGCTGAATATTGTCCGTATTTTGCCTGGACATGGGATTCCATTCGTGTAAGGAATTTCTGGTGAGAAAACTCTATGAATGCACCTCTACACCTTACAGTCTTAGAGGGCTGCCTTACGCACCAAGAGGTGACATGTCTCACTCAGTATGAGCGCAGTATGAGTCAGAGGCAAGGCTTAAACTGAGGGCTTCTTATTTCTCTATCCACTAAGCCACACTCTCACCATAAGTATCATCAATAGGGATTGAATTGGTTATTTCTTTGGTACAGGGAACTCCACGGGTAGGAAACTCCCTCTTATCTATGTAAGGCGACACCCCCTCTGCAATTTATAGTCAAGAAAGTGTCAAACTCCCTGCAGCACTGGAGAGGGCTATAATCAGATTGAAATGTAACTGGGAAATGTTTAACAAACTAAAAATACAATATGACCTAGATAATGTTAATTTGTGGTTTTCTGAGTCAGTATCCAGCCCTGGAGATCAGTGTCTATTTGACTTTGGCACCAGTGTGAACATTAAAAGGCTAAGAGATTCACCCAAGGTCACACAGCAAGTATGTGTCAAAAGCAGAACCTGAACCCAGGTCTTCAAGACTGACTCTCTATCCAATCTGCCATGGCTCCTGATTGTTATTATTATTATAATCACTAACTATGATTACTAATAATAACAATAATAAATTATTATTGTTATGACACATTCGGGCTGTGATACTGAGTAATAAGTCACTTAACTTCTCCATTCTCCAGACTCTGACCTAACTTTCCAGTCCAACTGGACATTACTCCTCCTCCTCCCATACTCTGTGACCCAGTCAAATTGGCCTTCTCTCTGTTCCTCACACATATAACACTCCATCTCCCATCTCCTAGGCTTTGCACTGGCTGTGTCCCATATGCCTGGCACGTATTCCTTCCTTACTTCCACTTCCAAGAGTCCTTCCCTCTCTTCAAAGCACAGCTCAAGCACCATCTTCTGTTATTGATCCCTCCTAAGCGCTAGTGCCCTGTCTCCCAAACTACCCTGTGTTTAACTAATATGTGTGTATATCTGCATTTATTAATGCAACACTTATCACACATGTATATATATATAAATATATATATATAAATATATATGTATATGTGCGGATACACTTGTCCTTGTAAGTAGATATTGTTCCATTCTTTGTACTCATATCCCTAGTGCCTAACACGGTGCCTGACACATGGAAGGCATTTAGTAAATGCATGTTGATTGACTGATTGACTGATTGATATTCAGAGTTTCCTCACCTGAGAAATTGCCTATATCAATGAAATCACAGTTCCAGGTCCTATCCTTATAAATATTCCTATATTTCTGCAGTTCTATACATTTTCTAAGGGACTTTCCCATATAATATCTCATCCAATTGCAAACCTACTCCCCTCTCCAACATATCGCCCTGTTCTAGCTGAAACAGGAAGTGGCACCATCATGACCGGCATCACTGATTGCTCCTGCTGAGCTACCCACCCCTTCCCTCATTCCAGTCAGAGGCTCCAAGGCTGAGCAAATGAAAACCTTTGGTTTCTCAAGGGACACTTTTCCACCCTTCTCTCCTACAAGCTTCCCTTGCCATGGCCCTTCTCACAGTCCCAAATTGCCTCAGGGCCTCAACCAGACCCTTCTACCCATTCTTCAGAGAAAAGT